GCAAGCCAAATTTATCGCCTGTGTGTTGTAATTTGCTCGGCCGTGGGGTCCAAGAGCACTTATTCCTTCCACGTCTTTTAAATGGACTTATTTTATTTTATGTTCAAATGTCTCATTGTGCTTTTGCAAGATGTGTGAGTCTGGAAGTCATCTGGGGAAGCATTCACTTGGCCATCGATTTGGCCTGTTTACTGCTCGTGCTGGCTGCTAGGGATACCAAGATGAATTCGACTGCACCCAGCTTTCTAGGAGCTGACATTTGAGCGTGGAGAATAGCTAGGGAAATAAACAGTTCCAAAGCAAGGCCAGTGCTCTCACAGAGCTGCGTGAGGCTGGAGGAAGAGCAGGATGTGGAGAAGGGGAGAGAGCAGAAGTTAGTATGGAGGAAGTCAAGGTCGAGTTGGTTTTGTGCCTACAGTAGGAAAAGTATGTGAATGGAAGAATGGAAGTATCTGAATCTGCTACTTAAAAAAGAAGCTATCTTTTCACGCATATGTCCCTTCATCCTGTGAGGGAAGAAACTGAATCGAGGTCCCCCTGCAGACTCTATATGTCCACCAAGTGCCAAGGGCAGTATTGCGTGGTGGCTGGGACCCGGCCTCTGGAACCAGGCTGGCTGGCTTTGCATCCCGAGCTTAGCAAAGTTAGGCAATTTACCTACCCCTCTGGGACATAACCGGGAAGTGGGGATTAGAGTATCTACCTCGTCTGGATGTTGGGAACATTACAGGAGAAAATGCTCCTGGAGAACTTAAAATCATGACTGGCACATGGTAAAGGCACCCAAGCCAGGCCTACGGGTTAGTTTCATCTGCAGTATCCACAGTCCTGCATGCCGTTTAGGGCTGAGAGCGCAACGGCGTGGTTAAAACACACAACTGAACTCGGCAAAGCACTCTCCACCAAGCTAGCCGAATCCAGTTACATGACTATCATTTCCAAACGGTACTCTAATTTAAAAATAACATTGTTTTTATTGTTTCCTGCAACTGTGGAGGGGGTAAGCCTTCCACCTAATCCATCAGTAACTTACACTTGTTGATGATGTTCTCAGATGGGTTCACTGGTGTTTTTCTTAAGACAATCCTCCCTTCTCTCAGATTTAGGAGAAGGCTGTCACATTTAGGAGGCTCACAGGGCCCTGTGCTTCTCCGACCTCATTTATATCTTCGTTAATTTCCCTGACCACTGATTTTCAAAATAGCTGTACCCACGGGAGGGGTACCTTTCTATATGCCAGTGGTGTGGTGGTGAAGTATGATAGCTGCTCTCTGAAAATCAAGTCCTGATTTATATTTGCCAATTTCCTTAGTGTAAATTTCCTACCTATAGCTGCCTTCAGGCTACCAGTGTAATGTCATTATTATGGACATGAGGCATCAGGTGGCGTGTCATGTAAGGCACTGGATTCCCACATGGCTGACCACCTTTTGAAAACTGGACCGGTGGCTTGAAAATCACAACGGGCACGTGTCTGTGCGTGCCCAAATGCCAAGAGGAGAATGGAGGAGAAGGGATTGTGCTGTGGCCATGCCCCCTGGGGGGTGATTTCTCACTTTCCCTCTCTCTGGTGAGCACATGCATCCTATGACCAAACACGAAAGAAAAATGGACTTAGGAAGAGATGCACAGTGGCACGCTATCATGCATGTCTTCCACTATTCAGATACAGTGGATATAAATAATTTCAAGAGCATAGATAATAAGAAAGTATATTAGAAAGTGATGAATTTTTGATATCTGTTACCTGTGTTTTCTTTATGTGTTTAACTATATGCTTATATAATTTTAATAACAGTTTTGTTTGACAATGGCTTCCAAATTTCCTGAAATGTTAACAACTGGTTTTTGTGACAATGGAATGAGCTGGTTCCAGTACACCCCTGGGTATGGCTTCCTATAATCAATTAAGGATCTCTTCTGAAGCTTGCCTCTTTCATCACCACTAAATCATTGTCCCTTTGGAACTGGGATTGCCTTTTTCTTTCTTTCTTTCTTTTTTTTTTTTTAAAAAAGCTGTTTCTTCCATGAAAGAGAGAGACAGAGAAAAAGAGAGACAGGCATCCCCAACCAGATCTTCTTGCTCTGATCCACCCTGAGCCTCAGCCAGCCCAGATCACCGGCATGTGTGTGTGCATTTGGCATGTACAAGGAGGCCTGAGGATGCAAGTCCAGGACCTTCCCGCGTGGGTTCAGTTGTGTAACTGCTGTGCCTCTGCCTGCCTACTGGATTGCATTTAAACAAATTCAGGCACATGTCTACATAGGCACACAGACACACGGTCATATGCAAAATACCCGAGAAAACCTCTCCTACTCAGACTCACTTCTGATCTTCGCCACCCCCTACCCCATCCCCAGAACACATGTAAATGCACTTACGCTCTCATGAAAACTTAGAAACATATAGCCAAAAGAAAGAAATAGTAACAGAGAGAATACGTACAGTGGAGGGTGAAAGTAAAGAGGAGAAGCAGACAAAGGAAACAAACCAAAGTGTGGAAGGGAGGACAAGACGAAGAAAAAAAAAAAAAAACAAAGAAATGGGAAGGGGCATATCAGAGTTAGGCACCGCGCTACTCCTACATCTGAAGCCAAGTGGCCGAACATCAGGAAATCCAAGTAGGCTGCATGGCTTCTACCCTTACTGGAGCCCTGCGTCCTAGCTGGCAGCCCAGTGCAGGCCTGTAGGGAGGGCAAAGGCAGGAGAAGGCTCTGTCAACAGCCTGTTGTGTTGAGAGGTATCTCTCTAGGAGAGAATTCCCACCTGAAACGTGGTCACCTGGGACACATAGCTTTGGTGGTTCCAACTCTCCATCAGACGACCTCCTAAGGAGCTTGGATGACAACATGGCATTTAATCACAAATTGGCAGCTGGGAGATGTTAACACTTTTCCTCTAATTGGCATAGTATGCTTTTAAAATAAATAGGTATTTCAAATGCTCTTAATTAGACTTCCAGCCAAAGAGCTTTCTGTTTGAAGTTTGCTGATTACTTCAAGCAAAGCTGGGCCCTGTTGAACCTGACACCTGCTGTCATTCTGAAGCGTGCTCCCAGGGAGATGAGCAGGGGAAATAAGATACAAGCCTGTGATCAAAACATGCAGCAGTTCTCCAAAGGCCCAGGGAGGGCCTACCCACCTGGATGGACCACCTTGAGGAGGCTGAGGACTGGGGAGCAGAGTGGGTAGAACTCCTCTTACCCTCAAAGCCCTGCAAACAGCTTTCTAGGCCCAAGATGAGAATGGGCCCCGAGGTTGAGCGGTATTTTTCACATCATTGTTTCTACTGAGTCATGAAGGCTGGAGAAGAGACCAGATGTTTCCGGGCTAGGGGGGCAGCCCTTGGGAATGACTCCACACCCACTGGCCTGCCCAGGGTAGCAAGGAACAGGACTCAGAGGCCTAGAAGGTCATCTTGCTAGTTTGGGATATTATGCTTTTAAAATAAAGGTCATCCTGTCTTTCTGAGCCAGGCATAGCGAGTTAGGGCTCTGGGACAGCCCTGGCTCTTTGGTGAAGACGCTTAGCACAGGCTAAGCTTCCGGTGTGGGCCCAAGTCTCTGGCAAGGAGAGGGCGGGTTACCTGACCCTTCAGGCTCAGGGCCAAGAACAAGAAGCTCTGCACACCAGTCAGCTTAGGTCTCCTTGCTCTATGTTTTTTATGTAGTCTTTAGCTATTTTATATTATCATTATTATTACCCAAACTGAACAACTAACTCTCCTAATAGTCCTAGTTACTAGGGTCAAACGCATGATCCTTATGACTTTGGGGGCTTTCCTCTATTTCCCTAACACTGGCCCTGGGTGCTGGATTTCTCCCATTACAGGTTATTTCAGAGCTTGGGCCATTTCAAGTGTTGCCCCTTGTTTGGAATATCTGAATTTCTTCTTAAATCAAAGGTCTATAAGTGGTTGGTACCAGTCTTCCTGGTAGCTACACTCTTCTCCCAGGTGACATCATTGGGTCCCATATCGAGAGGGGGCATTTTCTGCAGGTGGCCATTTCTTAATGGATACCAAGGGCCTCTTAGAATAGGAGTAGACTGGTTTAGTACTTGCATTTTTAATGTATGAAGTGAGTCAGCCATTGCGTGGGCAGTAAACATCATGAGCGCTAAGAGCACCAAGTTTGCACTCACAGAGAACTAGGTTCAAATTTCTGTTTCAACACTCACTAGCCACGTGACCTTGGGCAAGTTTATGAATCTCCTTCATTTGATAAATGTACTTATCTCTTGGGGCTATTGCGAGGATGATTTAAGACAGGAGACACAAAATTGTGCATCGAAGTGGGTCAGTTAATGATCACTGCCTCCATGACTGTTAGGATTGCTTAGAAATGGCTGTAGAGGGACCAGCTGTTGGTGTAATGGCTATGTCGCTGGACTCCCATGCAGTCAACTGTGGTTTGAGTCCTCGACCTGGTGGCTTAAACTCATGCCAGGCGCATGTGCATGCGTGCCCAAGATCCTGAGAGGAGAATGGAGGAGAAGGGATTGCGGTGTGGCTATCCCCCACCAGGGGATGATTTCTCCCTTTCTGTCTCTGTCTCTCTGTCGAGTGCATGTGACCTACAGCATAAACCTCTCAAAAAAAAAAAAAAAAAAAAAAAAAAGAAAGATAAAGAAAGAAAGAAAGAAAAGAAAAAAGAAAAGAAAAAAGAAATGGCTCCAGAAAAGTCAGTCAGTCCCTGCAGAGCTGGGACACAGTGGGTGAATTTAGGCTGGGGTGTGGAGTGGAAAAGGTAAGGAGGATGAGGCAGCCACTGGAAGGGTGGGGTGCCAGGTGCTGACAGCGGGGAGCAAGTCCACAGGTTGGGGACAGCAGCCCCAAGGGGAGGAGCAGTCAAAGGAAGTGGCGGCAGTAGCAGCTGGGCTTTCCTCGGCTGGCCCGAGGGTTTCCAATGAAGCCAAAGGCTTTGGCTGGGCTCGGGTCTCCAGGACCAGGTCGGCTTATGTGACCTTCCCCTTCTTCCTTTCGACTGCTTTGTACTCACCGAGAGCAACCTGCTGAATGTGCCGCTGGGTGATTTCTTCCTTCAGGTGACCTGTTAAAGACACAACGGAAAGCCACCAGTGAGTTTCTGATGGGTTGAAGGAAGACCTTGCCTCAGGAGCACATGGCAACCTAAACTAAAATAATTATAATAATAATAAGGAGATAATCATAAGGACACAAGCAGGCACGGCTGAGCCTTTCTGTGCCCTGGCAAGTGCAGGAAGAGGAGGTCACCGGCACATCAGTGCAAATGTACCTTTCACCTTTGGCTTCAATCGTCTTAGGGCTCAGTTACCTTGGCCTGGCACTTAACACCTTCGCTAGCACCCTAATCTCTTAAATGCTTCTATCTTTTGATTTTTAATTAAGGGGAGGGCAGGATTTGGTCTTCTCATAACTTATAGAGCCACTTGTAAATTCACTCCTTTCTTTAAGCCATATGAAACTAAGTCAAATAAAAAATACGGTGTTTTAGTAGATAATAAGCTTATCAGTGAATGGTTTGGCATGTAACTGACACTATTCTAGGTTGCATTAATAAATGCATAGTGTGTAGATCAAGGGAGGTGATAGTTCCACTGTACTCTGTAGTAATGAGACCACAGCTTGTATTTTTTCTGAGAATTACTCTTTTTTTGGGGGAAGGGGAAGGTTTTTGCTATAGGGCTCATGCGCTCGCCAGAGAGACAGAAAGTGAGAAATCACCCCCAGAGGGGATGGCCACGCCACAATCCCTTCTCCTCCATTCTCCTCTCAGGATCTTGGGCATGCATGCACATGCGCCTGGAGTGAGTTTAAGTCACTGGGTCCAGGACTCAAACCATGGTCAACTACATGGGAGTCCAGCAACATAGCCATTATACCATCTGCTGGTCCCGAGAACTACTCTTAATAAGAAACTTTGGAAAAACAGGGACTATTCAGAAGATGGTAACTGGGATGGTGAGGGGTTTGAAATCATGCCACAAGAGAAATATCTGAGATGATCTGAGGTGTTCAGATGGGGGAGGGAAGACCGAGGGAGAAGAGAACGGAGATAGTGGCTGTCGGAATATCTGAGCATCGTCATACACAGGACAGATTTCTCTTTGTTCTACCACGGCGGGGAGAAGTCAAGTCCAGTGAAGGCGGACTCGGGGCTCACTATGAGGAAGAAACAGCTCACTGCGAGGACCGTCTCACAGTAGATTAAGCTGTCTCAGAATGGACTAAATCTTTGGCAAGCAGTGAGCCCCTTCCCGAAGTGCTCAAGCAGAAGCTGGGTGACCATCTGCTGGGTTATTAGAGGGAGAGTTCCTGCCTTCGTGGGATCTGGGATGCCGTGACTGGCAGGATTTCCCAGCTCTAAAACTGCACGATTCTGTGCTCGATGGGTGGGTGAAACAGAAGCCCTGGGGCCTGTTTATGCCCAAGGGCTCAGCACGCTTGTTAAAATGTCAGTGCTGTCTGTGTCACAAGTCCCATCTGGGGGATATGAGGAGGCCTCCGGGGGACTCTGAGAAAGCTGGGAAACTTCACTGCTCCCTTGTCTAACATATTTCTTTCCTCGCAAAGAGTGCTTCTTACAACTCCAGGCTACAGTTGAGCGGAGAATTCAAAAGATGAGGAGACGGTGAAGTGGTCACAGGAGATGGCTTTGGTCATGGAAAGTTCTAGGGCACTCCCAGAACGCCATGATTGGGAGAGATGGCAGAGGGCATTCAGTTCACCTTCACACCCTGTGCGGGACTCTCTTCTGCAGAACAAAATGGGCATTTTTTCCTCAGACTTGTATGTACCCACCCTGTTCCGCTGGCTAAGTAATACATAAGGAGTTACATGGCACTCGCGTCTGTGTCCCTGTCGCTCCCAGTTGTTGGGCCTGCTCTGTCTCTGGCTCAGCATAGGAGAGGATCCTCTTTCATTGGCAGTGAGAGCCCTTTACACACTGAAGATGCTACGGTTTCTCTCTGTGGTCTCTGGGTTAGACCTCACCAGTCCCTTGGTGATCCCCGGGAGATCACTGGCTTTAGATGCATTATCATCTTGGCTGAAGGCCTGGGGCACTTGTATGTCCACGTCTTGCCTTCCATGTGTCTCTACAGGATTATAGGGTTATGCGAAGAGAAAGCCAAGGCCTACTCAATCATTGCATCCTAGTTCCAAGTAGGGAAGGGTAGGGACTGTAGGAGGTATTGAGGGGGAGTTGGGGATACTTGGCCCGATGAGTACCGATGGACCTGGAACCAACAAGAAAATGACCTGACACCTGGGCCAGCCACAGCCACACATGGGCTTCCCCATTCTGTGTGATACGACCCTATTTTCTGTTATCGGGGGAGTGAAGAAGTTGGGAGCTGAAGGCTGGTGCTGGGCCGAGGCTGTTCTGCATAAAATGTTACTGAGTTGAATTTTTAAAAAGCATAGCATGTGCATGCTTCAAATAAAAAGAGATCTGCTGTGACAAATACAACATGCCATTTAGAGTAGGTTCTCCTGACAACATGAGAGCCCAAGGAACCTTGGTGCCCTGTCTGTTTCCTGGGTACCCAGCACAGCTATCCCAACTCCAGACCAGATCAGTACCAGTTACTGTCCCTGTTAGGAACCAGCTGTGCAGCAGGAGGTGAGCAGCAGGCCAGGTGGCGAAGCTTCGTCTTATCACAGCAGCTCCCCAGCGCTGCATAACCACCTGAGCTCCACCTGCTGTCAGATCCATAGGGGCACCAGATTCTCAGAAATGTGAACTCTATTATGAACCGTGCACAAGAGATCTGGGTTGCAAGTTCTCATAAACCATCCACCCCCAACCCCTGTCCATGGAAAAAACTGTTTTCTATGAAACTGGTCCCTGGCGCCAAAAAGGTTGGGGACTGCTGCCTTACACCACCGGCCTTTCACAAGCCTGAGCACTGCCTTCCTAGTGAAACCGGATCGCAACTTTCTCCTTTAGAGTACATTCCTTCTTGGAAAACCACCTCCCAGGCACTGAGCCTCCCCTGTAGGTAAAGAAGGTAAAGAGCCTCCCTGACAATGGGCCTTCCTGATCACATGCCTCCTGTCGACATGCTTCCTCGAGAGTCCTTCCCAACTCCATGCCTTGCCCATGGTAGGTGCTCACCCTAGCATGTACAACTTCCTCTGCTCTAATCAATGACCAGGCTCCCTTTCTCCAAACTCTAGGGAAGCCTTATTTTTATTTATTTATTTATTTTTGAATAACAGGATTAAGGATTCACCACAGCTCTTGGTTTGTGTAGAGCTTCATTTAAATAAAGAGGAAGATTTTGTAACTTGGACTGAGAGTTCTGCAAATCCCACAAATAAGAACACTCATTCTCAGAACAACCAGGCATTCTTCGGAGACAAAAGGAGGGCCTTTATTTTATTTTATTTATGTATTTTTTTGGAGTGGTTTTCGCTATAGGGCGCGTGTGCTTGCCAGAAAGACAGACACAGAGAGAAAGCGAGAAATCATCCCCCAGGGAGGGTGGCCATGCTGCAATCCCTTGTCCTCCATTCTCCTCTCGGGATCCTGGGCACGCATGCATACCCGCCCAGCATGAGTTTAAGCTACTGGGTCTGGTACTTGAACCTCAGTCGACTACATGGGAGTTCAGCAACATCCTCCTGTCGACATGCTTCCTCGAGAGTCCTTCCCAACTCCATGCCTTGCCCATGGTAGGTGCTCACCCTAGCATGTACAACTTCCTCTGCTCTAATCAATGACCAGGCTCCCTTTCTCCAAACTCTAGGGAAGCCTTATTTTTATTTATTTATTTATTTTTGAATAACAGGATTAAGGATTCACCACAGCTCTTGGTTTGTGTAGAGCTTCATTTAAATAAAGAGGAAGATTTTGTAACTTGGACTGAGAGTTCTGCAAATCCCACAAATAAGAACACTCATTCTCAGAACAACCAGGCATTCTTCGGAGACAAAAGGAGGGCCTTTATTTTATTTTATTTATGTATTTTTTTGGAGTGGTTTTCGCTATAGGGCGCGTGTGCTTGCCAGAAAGACAGACACAGAGAGAAAGCGAGAAATCATCCCCCAGGGAGGGTGGCCATGCTGCAATCCCTTGTCCTCCATTCTCCTCTCGGGATCCTGGGCACGCATGCATACCCGCCCAGCATGAGTTTAAGCTACTGGGTCTGGTACTTGAACCTCAGTCGACTACATGGGAGTTCAGCAACATAGCCATTATGCCAACTGCTGGTCCCAAGGAGGGCCTTTATAAAGATACATACTAATAGCGATACTTTCAAATGTGGTTACTGATCAGTTTTGGTGAATTGACTAATGTCTCCTCCTACATGGCAAATATTTTTGAGATTTCCCCAAACAAGTGTCCAAAAATAACCTCCTGACTGATAGCTAATTGCATTTTCGAACAGAGTCATTCTTCATGTGAAGATAAGAGTCTCTGTAATCTGCTGGATCTTGCAACTCCACAGGTTTTGGCAAAAGAAGGAGTTCAGGGGGATTGCAGAATTCACTCAGCATGCAGCTTGCTGTCATTACCCCAGTGATAAATTTGCTGGTTTTGGCCTGGGTTCTTGGACACATCCACATCCAGAGGTATGGAAAAGAGATGAAACGGAAACACAGAACTCCCAGCCTGAGGCAGGAGACAGCATGGGAGGGAAGCAGGGAGCCCAAACTGGGGTTGAAAACCAAAAGAGCAGAGGAGGGAGGGAAAGCTCTGCTTGTAGGAGAATGCTGGTAATTAGTAATTTTTCCTTCAGTAATTTACAACAGTCCATGTCAGAAACACCCGCCCTCCCTTTTTGATTCATTAAGTGATGGAGTGGGAGTGGCAGCAGGGGGCAGGGAGCCTACAACAACTTGGGAGAAAGCTCCAGAGATGTGTGACCTTATAAACAACCATGAGTAGGTTTGTGAAGGTGTTGTTCTCTACGGTGTATGGGTTCCCCGCTACCAAGTAGTTCACAGGAAAAGTATCATCATGCAGAAGGAAAACCAGTTTTTTTTTTTTTTTGATACTTTGCTATAGGGTGTATGCACTTGCCAGAAACAGAGAGAGAGAGAGAGAGAGAGAGAGAGAGA